CGGAGTAACCATCGATAGCCGCCTTTGTACGGTTCATCTGATGAACCATGTGAAAGAGTCTCACAAGTGGGAAGTACATCACCGTATGCTGGTCATGTTTGCTTACGCCCTAATTAACTGTAGCTCTGGTACCATCAAAGAAGCAGCGATGTTGCTTTTGGAGGCGAGATGGCTCAGTAGTTAGAGTGCGAATTTACTGACCGGAAGGTCCGTGGTTCGAACCGGACCTCTACTTCTCGACTTCCCCTGCCTAGACTGGGGCAACCTGGCAGTATCCCAGCCTTCGTGCTTCCTTCTGGTGGTATGGCAGCTAGACACCGGAAGGGTGCTACAGCTGAACGATGCTGGCTTCTTTCGAGGGAGGAGTTAGAGAAGGTCGGTCCTAAAAACCGCACACATCGATCACCCACCGGTTGACCGTGGCCATCGGCGCATTATTCAATACGATCGAAATACCTTCAAAACAAAGGTGCCAAAAAGGCACCTGCGGCTGTGCGCACCCGCACCAGAGGTTAGACTATAATGCCTTATTCCCTGCGCCCTATGGTCAGGCCAACTTCCTGAAGCCAAGCAGGTCAGATTTTTTAGTCAGACGCTAGGGGCAGGGTCTCTGAACAAAACCCTACATCCTCCCATTGCCTTGTGGGCCAGACGTTTGAGTCAAAGGCTAAAGGTGGAGTGCCTCAACCAAACCCCCTTCCGCGGCCTGGGCAACCTGAAAGTATCATTTGCCCGCACAGTGCTGTGTCCATCGACGTCCCTAGCCATCCCCTTCACAAAACATAAAACGCCACTGGGTCATTTGACTGTCAGTTATCTGACCGAAGGGCCTTATGCACCTGGGTGCCTAGTAATAATAAACAAGATAACATCTTTCTAAATCCACGAGACCCCTTCTATGTAGGTTTTAATGCCCGTACTCTATGCCAAATTGGCAAACAGACAATGCTTGTTGAAGCCTTCCATTCCCCTAAAATTGATGTATGCTGTGTCTTCGAAACAAGCATGCAAGAGCCAAGCGTGGTTGTGTATCCGAACACCCGAGACGAACTCAGATCTTGCACATTTCTCCCCCCGTGTGCAGGTGATCCAGAACTGATGAATCGCAGGATGTCGTGAAAATTGCACTGAGCCTCAGAGCTTTGCGGGATTGGATCCCAGTGAGTGTTGGTCTTTGTGCCGTCCGGTTATCCATTTCGATCGAGAACGATGCCTCTCGACACAAAAACGGTGCCTGTTTGTAAGGTCGGTATACGCCCCAACGGACTGTAATTCTTGTGCTGAGAAGGATACCTTCTGTCGAGAGTTATATAGAGTCGTTCGTCAGGCAAGGAGCACTGACAGTGGACAATATGAATGTTTGGGTCGGTCATCTGAGTTCCCTGGAGTCATATCTTGGCGCTCGATCCGAGTCGACATTCGTCGCACAGGCGACGGAAAGCGACTCCTTCAGTCTTGTGCTGATCATCAACTGTTTCTGGCTAGTACAAACTTTTAGCATAAACGTTCGCATCGCGTAAACTGGCGGCCACTAACTGCAAATCAACCACGGACCTAGTTGGACCACGTGGCCATGAGCCACCGGTGGAAAGCCATAATTCAAGAATGCCGCTCCTTCTAAAGCACACAACTTGATTCCAATCACGCCATGGTGCATGAACATCTGATAGTTCGTTTCCCTGATCCTCGCAAGTCTGCAAGAAGCATGCCAATCCACCATCTGCCATAGCTCAGAAGTATCGATCTGTGCTAGCCCAACAACCCTCCACAGTAAACCAATACTTTACTGGTAGTGAGCACGTGGATGAAGCATGGCAAAATGTCCGACTTCTCCAGTTCGGCCGAAAAACCACTGGATGTCATCGAGATTGCTACCCATGATTGATGCCAGAAAACCTATACCAGCAGGCGACGAGTACGACCTGGCACACAAATCCCTCAAATGCCAAATAGTGAAGAGCCTAAGAAAGAACACCGAAAGCTGGGGAGATGGAGGCTTCTGCTACCGGAAAAAGCCGTTCCCTATACCAAGTGATAAAATAATCAAAAATAGATCGTTCAGTTGCAGAATCCTTTCAGTTCTTAGCTGCCATGCCTCCCGAAGGAAGCATGGGGGCTGGGATACTGCTAGGTTGCCCAAACCTGGACAGGGAAAGTCGCGCTCTAACCACCGAGCCATCTCGACCGACTGACTCTAGGAGAGCAGCGGTCAGTGGAACGATAAGTGAAAAAGCGACTATTAAGTCATTCAAAAAATGTCGACTGGAAAGGTGAGCCGAACACTTCGAAGAACGGCTTAGCTGACCTCCCGCAACTCAGCCTGTGGAGAAAGTCCATATGGGCGAATGGAATAAACCTAAATCGCCCGTCGGAAGATGAAATAAAGTAAAAAAATATCCGCTCTGAAACGTGAGAGGGCACAGAACCGGACGGTCTGTACACAATCCTCTTTAAAGAAGGCGGAGAATACCTGGTGATTCATCTGACAAAACTTATTGGTGATATATGGAACAAAAAGAAAGTGCCTGCAGCATGGGGTATGTTGACAGTTATTCCTGTCATGAAAAAGGGTACGCGGGCGATGTGGGAAAAACCACGGTGGCATCAGTCTGGTGGCTGTGGCATTGAAGGTGTTCTCTGGTCCTATCCGTTGAAGGCTAACTGAACACAGGGAAAGAAGGATCCACAAAAACCAATCCGGGTTTCCTCCTGCAAGAGGATACATCAATCACATCTTCACACTCCGACAGCGATACTTCTTCCAGAAACCAACAATGGTTGTGTTCCTTGATCTGGAAGCTGCCTTTGACTCTGCAGACCGTCAAGCACTATGGTCTATTGAGCAGTGTTCCCCATGAATTCTTGACCCTCCTTAAGGCGCTGTACGCCAATTTCCGCGGGCGTGTGAAGGCCTACGGGAAGCTCTCGCTGAGTTCACCACATCAGGTTGTAGCAGGCACGGCTGTCCTCGTTCATCTTTCTTATTCAACTTCGTCATCGATGCGACTATTGAAGACTCACTATCAGTCTCTAATGCCTGTGGGGTTGAAGTTCTCCCACGGTGTCTGCTTACCAATATCGACTACGCAGAAGATATAGCTCTTCTGGGATATGAGGGCGTGGTAATGCAAACAATACTAAATAATCCAAATAATTCCGCATAACGATTTGGCATACGTTCCACCCCTGCTAAGTGTCAAGTGTTGCTGCAAGACTGGGTAGGCTCAAACCCGTCTCATGCTTGCGGATGAGTCGCTTTGGGTAGTAGACTAGTTTGTCCATCTAGGCAATTTTATCAGTCCCACTGGTCCCGCGAAAGTCGATATTGACATCCGGGTTGGGAAGGCCAGGGCAGTTTTTGTGAACCGGTGTCACCTGTGGCATGGCGTGACATCAGTTTATTCGTCAATGGTCGAGTTTACAATGCTGTGTTGCGATCCATATTGCTATACTGGTCAAAAACTGGCCACTGTGCGCCGGAGACTTCAAAAGAGTGTGGGGTCATCGATGTCTTTGGGGCGTTACTCGAGTCCGACGGAAACATCAGATCAGCAGTGCTGATATAGGTTGAATGGTATTCGAAGGAAATAACTCACCCACAATAAATGAGCTGATCACATTGCACAGGTTGTGCTGGCTTAGCGACGTGCTTCGTATGCCAGCCGATCGACTTTCCTAGAGGGTTCTTTTGCAGAACTACGCGAAGGGTGGAAACGAGCCAGAGGCGGTCAAACAATGACTTAACAGCGAAGTGCGGAAGCAATTACCAGCAAACTCATCTGAGTTGGTCATTGCCATCTACCTGTGTAGGGACCTCGCGAAGAGACACATCAATGGTTAGACATTATCAGACATGGCCTAGTTGCGCCCTATAGGCGCTCATGCATCCAAGCTATTGCATTCAATGCATAGCTCCCCTCCGAGTCTCCTTACTCACAAGTCCACTGACAAACCTGTATTCATGCATCAATCTATCAGCTCCCGCCTCCACTGCGCAGCTACCCGACCTCCCAAAATTATCGATGGACGAGACGAAAATGTGGTAGCTAGAACTACTGTACGACAAGTGCGTGGTTAATACAACCGATGATCATCATCATCAAAGACGGGTTATAGGACGCCGTAAACACTCCGTTGCGGCGAGCTGGAAGCTCAGCTGCTGTTGTGGTTTCCGAAATGCACAAATGGGCAGGTTAGCATACCTGAGGCTGGATTAGGTGGTCGGTGTAGAGTGGACTCGGTGCGTACGGACAATGGCGGACGATGGCTACAGCTATTTTCTAACCAAAGGCCGCTTTTATCGAGAACCAACTTCCGAGAGAGCCGAAGTCATCTGGTCAAAGTGTCCCCGAAAAGCATATGAGCTGGGAACTCAAACTAATCACACCGCCATCAGTTACCGGTGGTGCGGATTAATGACTGACTGCAGTTCGTCTTGGAACGCGATCGTCCGGAATCACTTTGCCCTTCATCTTCCAGGGTCGTGTAAAATGCAGATAAGTAGCTTTGCAACCGAGACTGGTGGGTCTGGTTGCTAGACGTTGCTAGAGCCGTCTTCTGAGAGCTCTTCCAACTGCTCCGCCATCAGAAGTGAATTCATTCTGGAACGAAACAGTCATCTATTTGCGCAGTGCTGAGAGTTCTGCCTGTGGCACGGCGCTACCAATTATATTCATTCATACTCAGACCGAACAGGAGCAGATCATATCTTGGAGAAATACCCCCACCGGTCCCGAAAATAATTTGGCCCGACGAATTATCAGTATTGACTTCATATCTCACGAATCATAGCACATACTACGATGCACGCATCTTCAAAGCTCGGGTCACGTCTGTTAATTTGAGGTGCCTATAGTGTCAGAGCGATATATCCCTGGATATCAGGCCGCAGTAGGGGCTTTGTTGAAGGAATCTGAGACTTCACCTAATCGATCAGCAGAACTGAAACAAACCATAGCTCATGTGGGCGGGTGTCGTCAAATTCGTAACGAGGCACTTAGATGGCGAACGTTCGGTTGTGCGAAGAGGCTTATTGTTGGGTGGAATTCGGCATCGACACCGTTTACCGCTCAAGGGAACTGCCTCGTCTATGGCCCCGTTCCACACGCGATTGGCCAAAGGAGCAGATCGTCTGACAGTCCGGCATCAAGGCTGGCTCTGATTGGTCGAAAATCTGGACCCAAGTATCAATCGTGATCCATCAGCTGCCGAGTGCGCTGTAGCGCGGGGCGTCAGGAAGTCAGCGGATTCGACGTTCGAGAGGATGTAGCGACGGCACACGTCGGTTCAGAAATGTGCAGATATAGAGGTTGGTATTACGGAATCCACACGGCACATACAGCACACATTCGCACAGGTCGGGTAACACAGAAAACAACACCGGAGCGCTGCAACAACACACGTGTATTAAACCGAAACCGGAAGACGGGGGTACAAAGTCAGGTCAAGATCAATCAGGGGGGTGTACAAGAGGGTTTCTCTTTCCCGCCCGGGGCTCGTGGTGGCTCGTCCGTGGTACCTGCAGTAGGGGGGAGAGAGGGGGAGAGGCACACATAAAGTCATATGATAGACGTGCAAGCCGATACAGTCAAGTTTCAACTGCGTTACAGCGCCGACCTTTAAATGAAAACTCCGAATTTCTATGAAAACGTAGTTTGAACGAAGGAATCTCCAACATATTGTTCTAACATTTCTTTATCCGTGAACCCCAAAAATCTTCTCACGCGGCAGCGGTTTTGTTGTAAGCCGAATTGTTGTAAGCGCCGAATTCAATTCAGGTGGTTTCGCTTGTAGTCACCGTGAGTGCGGTGGGGAAATATGTGGAAAGATGCTTTCTTAACGTGTCCCCATCTGTGTTGAATTTAAAAATCATTTTAACACTATATAAACAATAATTACGCCTCCATGTTACGCGCGGCAACCAGTTGCGACCTGTATGGGAAGGGTTCTTTGTCGTGGCAGCAGGGGTTCCTCCAAAGAAAGCCAGGGAATTATTCACAGCCTGTCAATTCACACACGGGATATAGGACGAAAGGCACAGTTTCACGTTCACCGGTTTACTGACCCCGTTTACTGGGAGAATTAATTGGTTCATAGGCCGAACAAGCGTGCTGTACAATAGGGTGACCAGTCCTTTCAAGTTCTGGTACAACTTCAAAGGATTGGGACGATCTCTACTGGCACATGCAACACGCTTACCTGGAAAATATTAGGGATATGTTAAATTGTGGGCAAGATTCGGTCTGGGTACGCCAGTCGCTGTACAGTCATCGCGAAGCCGTACTTGGGGTCGTTGACAGCCCCATGCATGTGCACCTTTTGTGAGTAGTATGAGCTGCCATGGCAGTTGGGATTGGCCGGGCAATCTTAAAAATTCAGATTAGCATGGATCAAGGAATTCCATGTGTCCTTCGAGGGTGCATGGTGGTTCATTGCTGCCATCCAAACAAGGCGATGAGACAGCCGCGTCCAAACCGGTGACACCATTGGAGAACGCATCAAAATATCTGCTAGACGGCACTGTGGAATGGGTTGGACTGCGGCGGGAAATAGCAAACAGCTATAAGTGGTCACAATTTGGAACTACTGCGATATGGCAACACTGCTAAAGTTCGAAAAAGGGTTATCGGTATTCAGGTGTATGTAAGTGCTGAGCGGTCGATGCCAATGGGTATAGGTATATGTGACTATCAGGGACATGCATTGGCCAAATTTCGCTCAACTAAGATAGCTTGGAGCATGCTGCGACGTGAGATCAGATCAAAATATGAAATCTCTCGTGGTGGCGCGTGCTTGTATGATGGGTCACCTCAAAAGGTTGCAGTCAGAGCCTAAAGAATAGCAAAAGTCTTTTCAGAACAGCTTACTGCTGAGGCATTATACTGCATGTATTTATAGAGTCTCCGCCAGCATTTTCTCCCCTGTCAATGGATCTATCTGCTTCATTGGATGAGTGAACGGGATATTTGCCACAACCCTGCGTTCTTTCGCATCGTCAGGGACAGGAGGTGCGGATGGGGAAGACATGGTACGGAAAAATATAGAGAACTCTCTAGAAGATTTTGAACACAGAGCAGTGTGCAGCATCATTCCCACCCCGTTTCGAGTATATTTCATGATATTTCGTGAGATAATGGAGACGAGCGCTGAAATGTCTTCTGAACACCTGTGCTCAAATAAGTTCCAACGAAAACCTTGTCCACCTGAAATATGCACAGGAAATCTTTCTCATCTTCGAAGAGGAGAACAAGGCGCGTTTGTTTGTGGATGAACCGAATTTTTTGTATGCCCTCCGCATCCGTAAACTGAAAGGCCTACTCCTGGGTATGCAGTCAGTGGACGCGCCATTTAATGTTCAGGGGGAGTATCGTTGGAATGTTTTATGTATATTCGGAGTTGTATTATATCGAATTGTAGCGTGCAGATGACGTCAGTGCGCTAATCTGCAAGGCCCAGGTCAAGTGTGATCACTAAAAATGCCGATGGCGTCAAAGCGTTATATATACGGATATCAAGAGACGCGTTTAACAGGCTACAGTAGGGTGTATCTTGTTATAAGGCCGTGAGACGTGTCCTGTTCGGTGAGCGGGACTGAGGCGTTTGACAACTCTCGTCTCAGAACGATAGCTCGTGTGGGTTGGTTTCGGCGAATCTGTTATTAGGCAGTTAGAGGGCAGGACTCCCGTTGTGCCATAAGGACTTCTACTGAGGAATATATCCAGCACCAGGTCTTTGGGCTGGGCCGAAAAGTCTAGCCAGGTAGGTCATATATGGAAGGCTGTTGTACATATGATTGTGTAAGTCTAGATGGGCATAATCGATGAGTTGAATGAGGTCCAAGTCTATATGACAGACATGGGAAACAGCCTCACTTTGGCCTGGGATATTGAGCGCCTTTCCACATGTTGTGTCTGATGATCCTTTATATATAACCGAATGCTTTAAATAAAAAACGCTGGCCTGTCACCTGATGGTTTTCCTATGAAGGAGTGCGTAGTTGATGAAACTACCATCACGGCTGAGTACGGGACGGTTACAAATGATGATAAGGACAACGGAGCTCTCGGTACTTTTAAGCTACACGGAATCGGCATCTTCGGTCCTGGGATTCAAAGTTTTACCGCTTGGCCTTACAGCCGACTAGTGCACACCTCTCTTCAGCTTAAATGTCACTGTGTCGAATTGTACGTAGGGTCACTACATCCCACCCCGAGTCATTCTTGTACATACGAAGTTCCTCATTATCACCAATAGGATTGCTTGAGAAAGTTGTAGATTTTCGTTTATAACTGAAGTCTTCAAATTCTGCGTGGATATCGATACTGAATCATCAACAACGGGATTTCTAAAGCACCTAGTGCGCCGGCCAATTATATTACGGAAAATTTAAATGAGCTGCGACTGCTGTAACTAAGAACGGCGTCCTAAGATGATACTTTGATATTTGTGAATTGGTGTATCTGGCACTTCGTAAGCAGGCTCAAGGAGTCTGTTATGCTTGGAATTACAGCTACCAAAAGGGCGAAGCCGGTGGCGGGCTTTTGGCGTTTTCGGTAACCCTATGGGTTACAAAAACTAACTGCGATGTCTCTACCATTGTTGCAAACAAATAAACAAGCGGCATTTGGGCAGCGCTGCGCAACGGAGTGTGTGCACGCCCAGTTTAGGAACATCACAAATAAGAGCTTCGGCAAAATATCGGTTGAGCTCTCCACTGTAAACTACTCAGTTTCCAAAATATTTTATTTTGCCCGGGAAAGGAGTATGTTTTAAAATAAATCGAGGGAACTAAAAAAAGCTCTTGGATTAATTTCAGCTTGAAGTTTCAAAAAACAGAAAATTTGTGTTTACACGGTCGATCAGCATCATTGTCAACGCTGGGTTGCTGTTCATGACTATTTCCCAGAACCCAAGTACAAGCAGTTTACAGGCCAATTATATGAATAGCAAGTTAAGATAGTATTCAGACTTTCAGAGTAATTGCAACTGTAACCAGTTTCACGGATGGAAAGCAAACAAGTCGGGGATGGCTACATTCAAAGAGTATCAAAAACGAGAATCACTGAAACTAAGTTAGAAATATTTAGAATACATAGAGAAGAACAGGGCTAGATGTACAGTCTTATCGGGTGAAAATAACGAGAAGAACGCCCGGTCATCGCTCGTGACTGAAGTTATCATACCTGGGGATGCAGGGTTTTTGAAAATCACACAAGAGACTTGCTTAAAAAAGATTTTGTGATCTAGTTCAATATGAAAAACTTCTTTTGTGATTATTTCGTCGTAAGGATCCTGAATGGCATGACACCGTAATGAGAATCGCGCGAGTAGTTTGTGTCATCTCTGGCGGCAAATTGATGACATCTCAACTCAGGATTTTGTGATGAAGAATCGCATACGGTTTCCGGCATATGTCGTGGCGATTGTGAGCCCTCTTCTTACCTCAGTCAAATTTTCAGCCACCTGATATATTGTTGGGTCGCATGTCCTACTGTTAAACTATCACTACCGTTATTGATATCTCACACAGCATCACCGATCATAACGAAATATACAACTAAATTGCTACCTTAATCCCACTCTCCTGGTATCATGCAGACCCGAAAATGTTTACAGCAGGTGCCGTGGGGTTTATTTTCACCAGTACACTTGCATGTGTCATACGAACAGTCAGGCATGATCACCACCAATGGCGCAACCTCAGTGCCAAACATGGATGCTTCGTTGTAATCCTTATTTTGAGAAAAAAACTAAAATTGTTGAGGAATGGACTGGTGCCTACATCTTTGAATACTAATTCATTGTCAAATCCGACGAGAACGCGGCCGACACGGACTAGCAGGTTCTCCAATAAGGCGCAATCGGGGTTAATTGGTACTGCAGTGGTCCGGCTACTCAATAAGTTAGTTTACCAGGTGTGTGTGGCAAAGAAATAAGAATAATTACTCTAGGTTCGGTATGCAAAAATAAAGAGGGCAGACTCACTAACATTTTTCTTTCTAAAATAGTTCATCGTTGGCCCAGGTCAGCGAAATAAACAATAATCCAATTATGTTGTTCCGGAGGTCTTCTTCTGAACAGTTCTCACATATAATAGATTCCGAAGATGTCTGAAATGTTTTGGTACCAGAGTTAGTACACGAGACTCACGAATGACCGCTGCAAGCGCGAGCGAAATCAGAAGAGTCGAAGCACGTGACCACGCTTGCATTATGTGAAATCGTACAAGTGCGCGTTTTTTGTAGTTTTTCGTATTCAAACAAAAACCGATTATGCAATTGATGAAATACGTAATGTTATAATGGAAGTAAAATAAAGGTACAAAACGCCACAGTACAAACTCTTGATGACGAGTGGTAGCGACAGCATCCTGTCTTTTTGTAACCATTTCATACCCGTAAACCTGGCCGGGAGTTAACCACCTCTTCTTCCGCCACTCTGACGTTCGCGTGGGAAACAGTACCTCCTTCGGCGAAGGATGGTTAAACATTCACAACACACTACCCTTGGCTCGCTGCTTTTGGTGTTGGGCGCATTCGTTGATGGAATTCCCGGTTCACAATCAAACACATTTTCCAATTACATCGTTATGTAGTCACACCTCACCAACCCACATGAGCCATAGTTCTGAGGCCACAGATGTCGAAAACCTGAAGAAGTCTCACTTTCTCTGTCCGAAGAGGTTGAAACGCACAGCCAAAATCAGGAGCCTGTACCGTGGCCGGGTACACATATCCCCTGAGTATCAGAGATGAACCACTTTTGTTGTTGCTGTAGCAATTCCCGGAGCTGATCAAATTCGACTGACATCGTAGGTCCACGTTCGCCAGTTGTAGTGGCTGTATTATCCTCAGCTTAGTTCTTGGTCTGAGCCTCCCAAGATGGGGTTCACTTCAAGACAACTGCCAAAGGTGCATAGGGTATATTAACGCTAAAATGAATCAAGTCAGTTGTACAGTACTTCGTATGTATAGTGTAAGCGGCGGTAACTTTCTGGAAATTCTGACGTCTTCTGGGTGACAAACGACATTCGGCCAATACTTGGACATTATTGGCTGTCGAGCCCAGACTTTCGACCAATCAGATCTAGGCTGGACGCCGAACGGGCAAGCATCCCCGAGCTTTTGTCCAATCTTGCGCGCGGTAGGCTTCTCGGCCGTAGCGGCACCTGACTGTGAGCGGTAAAGCGGAATTCGTGCGAAATTCCGCCTAACAGTCGCCGGGGTGCACAAACTGTCGCACGTCGGTGAAGTCTGAACTCTTCGGGATGGCAGTGTTAATCTTCCGGAACCTATACTGCACCGTCTAGAGGCTTTCCTGCCCAAAGCAGTGTCCCCTAGTGGTGCTCACTCCTACCATTTTCTCATTTTGTGATTCCCAACGACACGAAAAATAGAATTTCTCGAAAATCCTAGTGATTCTCAAGCAGGACAGTGGAGGTACTTTTGGACTTCGTCGAGTAACAGCAGAGCATAATGCGGGGTCACTCGTCTTTGTCTGGCTTGTCCCCTTTGAACTTCCTTCAGTGGTTGTGAGTGGAGATTTCGTTCAGTGCAACTCACGGAATCGCAGCGACACACTAGCCCGGCCGTATCGTCGGGATGACGAATTTCGGCCGTGTCTAGCCAACGGGCTGGCACCCTCAAGGTATAGATATTGTGAACACATCCCTTACGATTCAGGAGGCACTTGATATCACGGAGCACTTTACCTTTTTTAATATGCTTGGCTCAGATTGCAGTGACTGGCGTGAGTACACCATGCCTCTTGAAATCCAGTAAATAGTTCGCTAGTTTACGCCACTTCAGGTTTAAAAACAGAATATCACTCAGTTCCATGAGTCATATGTGTGTCAGGCAATTAAGGCGCGAACTCATCAACCGGAATGTTAGTGGTTCGAAGCCAACCACAGTACCTCGACTGCAACCTGACAGTGTCCACTCCTCGTGCTTCCTTCGGACGGTAAGGCAGCTTGGCGCTGGGTGCTACAGCTGAACGAGTAATATACTCTATTTGCTTAATATCTCGGAGGTCCTTTGTTCGAACCCAACCACGGTATTTTAACTGCTGCTATTTCTCAGCTGTTCCGCTTCCTTCGAGTGACATGATAGCTAGAAACGGAAGGCTTTTTACAGCTGAGGAAAAAAATAAGCAGGGTTAGCCTTTCAATCTCTGACCACCGGTATTTCTGAACCACGGCTCGAGCCGGTCGGTGCCGTTGGATTCGCAATCAGATTACCAGCGAACGGACTTTGGGTTGCGCAGCAGGTATTCTACATGACAATTTGCGATTGTTTGGTCATAATTTGTGCCTACCATGTGTCCTGTACATGCACGCTTGAGTTCCCGTGCCTTATTCAGATTGTTGTTAATAAACATGCTGACAAATAGACTCAGCCAAAGAGGACAGATAGGGCTGATTCTATGTTCTATTCGCCTTCCAGGATGAAATTCACGTGACCACTGTGCTGGACAGAAGACGTGGGCTGTAACCCTTCCTATTGATCTTCCGTTAATTCTTATCCGGACGGCTTGAATGGACGTTTGGGGAGCTTCTCGTAGCTATGTAAGCAAAAACCGACCCCAGAGACTGAGCTGTAGATTTGGATAGGGAAGAATGAGGAGCAGAAGAAGTAGTGACCAGTCTCCAAATTGATTGATTTGTATTTGGCACTGCCGATAGGTGATCCACCTTATGTGTAACGAAATTACCTTTATGTGCGGCAACACGCATGCTCCAGCACATGTTGGCGAACTGTACAGCCTGTAATTCCTATTTATCTCTCACAGGCTTGTTTGAGTCATTAATAGGAGGAGTGTCTCATCGATCTGTCTCAGTCTCAATGAGGAACGCCGCTTAGTATCTACTGCGGAACTGGTAGACCGAGTTGATGTTGCAACTCGAACTGTACAGGTAAGATGGTGATGCCTAGAAAATGAGTCGGAGAGCGAAGCCAATTATTTCTGTGAATTATACATCCTTGTTTTTAGTGGCACTCCAACCCAGAGAGTCGTGGCGAATTGCATCGGGCTTCCAAATGTGTAGTGGTGGTAACCGTCCGGACGACAGCATGAGCTGTCTTGGGATGCTCGTCGATGAATTCTGTGTCGTTGAAACGTTTCATAGATTCGTCTTCAAAATGCCAAACGACTGGTCAAAGTGTGTCCGATGCATCAATAGACCAAACCATGGATTCCACAAATATGTAACCTGTGGGACTTGCCACGTATCACATCTCTTAAACGGTACCGACAAATATTTGGATTTCATATTGGCTTCACAGAATCTCCAGCATCTATAGTAGTACATTCGTCGCAGATAGTAACCTATTCGAAGACCCACGTTTGTGGAGCAACAGCAGGATTTTGAATCGGTTCACTGACTTGACTATTCTACCTTTCATGGTGGTGGACATGTAAGTGCACATGCCATCCATTGAAGTCTTGGTATTCCTCTCCCTTAAAGTCGATGTAAGAGTGAGATGGCTCAGTGGTTAGAACGTGAATTTACTGACCGGAAGGTCCGTGTTTTTAATCTAACTGCATCTCGATTTCCCGTGTCTAGGCTTGGGCAACCTGTCAGTATCCCAGCCTTCGTGCTTCCTTCGGGGGGCATGACAGCTGGGCACCGGAAGGTTGTTACGGCTGAACGATATAAAGCTTCACAGTTTGTTGTGGGTGAGACACCAATTCAAGCTGATTTACTCCCTCTACGTCTTTTGGGCTGTCTACCAGTCTCTGGTCCCCGCCTGAAGCCTCATTGATTCTCACCTCTGTGGATGGGGACCATGGAAAGTGACACTACAGGATTTAGTCACGCAGTCCGTGGCGCCTCTGCATCAGACTCACTACCTTCTGCGCAGCTGTCGGGATTTCCGTTTCTTTGGAAAATTAGGAGAGCAGAACGGCGAGTAGGTGGTAGGGTAGTCGCCTCTAATGCTCGTCCATCCCTTCCACACTCTCATTTTTCGGTCACCAAAACCATCAGCTTGAACCAGCGTCTTCCTGGTACATAGGTTAGAATCAATCAATTGAACCCACGCGGTCCATCACACAGGTAAATGGCCCTCTTAGGGAAGACTTTTCTCTGGCATCTGGTGCACGTTCCACACTGGCAGCTCTTGAAATGTGATGAGCTCTTCTATCAGGGTGTTTTGTTCCTTCCGGAAACAATTTGATGTTTCTATCGAATTGTTTACGGAGGTATCGCTGGTCAGACGTCCTAATCTCTGATTCATCCTCTACTCGCAGCAGCCACGGTTCATATCCTAAAGCAAGATTTACGCACTGCAGCGTTGTAAAGTTTCTGACCTGCACTGTGTCAGCGAATCCGTAACGAGGCAACTGAAAGGCGAGTTTTTGGCCGTGCAACGGGGACCTTCATTGAAGAACGCCTCCAGCAGCAGAAGCTGCGTTGGTTGGGACATGTACTGCGTATGCCGAACCACCGTTTACCGAGAAAAGTGTCGTTTTCCGTGGCCAGTCCGGAGTGGCAGAAGCAGATCGGTGGTCAACCCTTGAGCTGAAAGACGGACATTAAAGAGATTACGAACGTATGGATGTTTACGGAGGTATCGCTGGTCAGACGTCCTAATCTCTGATTCATCCTCTACTCGCAGCAGCCACGGTTCATATCCTAAAGCAAGATTTACGCACTGCAGCGTTGTAAAGTTTCTGACCTGCACTGTGTCAGCGAATCCGTAACGAGGCAACTGAAAGGCGAGTTTTTGGCCGTGCAACGGGGACCTTCATTGAAGAACGCCTCCAGCAGCAGAAGCTGCGTTGGTTGGGACATGTACTGCGTATGCCGAACCACCGTTTACCGAGAAAAGTGTCGTTTTCCGTGGCCAGTCCGGAGTGGCAGAAGCAGATCGGTGGTCAACCCTTGAGCTGAAAGACGGACATTAAAGAGATTACGAAACGTATGGATGCTGTCGGTGCTACTCGCCTTCCAGGATGGGGACCGCATGATCCCCACTGCGCCTGGTTGGAGACGCTGTAAGATATGGCTACCAACCGATGGCGGTTGCGTTCGTGTTGTCAGCTTCTATCCAGATTGCCTGAATGAGTGTCTAGATGTGTAGGCATCTGGGAATGACTGGTAAGCTAGCACTAAGTCCATTGCACCGTCACGTTTATTATTTTCTTCACATCATGGTTATACGGCGGCAAAGCATCAGTGTTGAACACTGATGTCATGCTGTCGATGATGATGATGATGATAATTCAGGCGCCAGAGGCTTCAGGCTGGGCAAAATGTGACCGTCTTCCAGCGTTGTCTTTTGGCAGTAGCTGAGGATTCCAAGCCCAATCGGCTTGTTTTGGGTCCGACTACTAGGGTGGTAGTTGTGCTCAGTGGCTTCGAAATGAGCTGCTGAATGGTCTATGAAAACTCGACCTAAAGTTGTCACGTTGTGGTGGTCGAGCTTCTGTGCTGCAATGATCCTTTGAGCTATACTGGCTGAAACTCAGTTCCCTAATGTTTAGCCATGCGAGAAAGGCCAATGGAGAGCAACGCGACGAAGAACAGCGAGTCCCCGAATAATCATATTACGAAGCTGGCTGAAGGTTAAGTCGTATTGTCCTCTGCTACAGGAGTGTGAAGGTAACAAGGCACGTCCATATTTATGGAAGCAGTGATGCTGCCTTCCCCCGAGGAAGAAGGGTTAGAAAAGGTCGGCCCTAAAATCCGTACACTCGGATCGCTCAACGGCCGGCCGCGACCGCCGGTGCATTATTCAATGCGGTCGAAATACTTTTAAAACCAAAGAGTCCGGTGCTGCTCAAAAGGTACCTGCTGTACGCAGCTGCACTAGGAGTGAGACAGCGATAACTTACTCTTTGCACCCCCCTAGTCAGGCCGGCCCCCTGCAGTCAAGCGGGTCAGACTGTTGAGTCATTGGCTTCGAGAAGGGGACCCCAAGGAAACCCTAATAACCACTGTCTTGCGGTTAAGACTTCTGAGTCAGGGTCCCTAAAAAACCGGCGTCAACCAACTGCTTCGTGGGTTAGACTTGAGTCAAAGGCTCAGCAGAAGATTTGGAACGAAAACAATACTAAGGGAATCGGGCTCTTCGACCGCCATCTCAGTTTTCAAAACCTCATGTGAAAACCTTCGTATCATCAGTCTGGTATCCGTCTTGTCTAAGGTGCTCGCTGGCATTATTTTATACAGGTTAATGGATTATCGATAGAGACGGATTCGTTAGAATCAAACTGGGTTTCGCCATGGCCGAGGATGCTTCGATCATATCTTTCCCTTGAGACGAATTGTTGTATGTCGCCACTCCTTCAAACGTCTCATGTTAGTCGTTTTTCCTGTGAAAGCTGCCTTTGATTCTATCGATCATCAGGGCATTTGACAGTGTTTGGCGATCAAAGGTCTCCCTCCAAAATTTTCTCCCCTATGGAGGCACTGTATGCGGACTCCTGTAGGTGCGCACGAGCATATGGCGAGCGTTCCCCCTAGTTCATCACGTCCAGTAGTGTAAGACAAAGCCGCCCTCTTTTACCCGTTGACTTTTTATTGATGTGTTGCTTCTAATTTCTCCACCTGACTCTGAAACCTCGGGAGTCGAAATGCTCCCGGGACATTCGCCCATAGACATTGAGTATTCGGACGATATTGCTTTCTTTGGTTCTTATCTTTCCCAAATGCAAACCATCTTAACTAACATGCTACCTGGCTTTGTATGCGCTTTACACCTGCAATGTGTAAAGTGCTGCTACAAGACTGGGTGGGATCAAACTTGAACGTCGTGCTCGCAGGTGAGTCAATCGAACTTACCTGGGCATTTGTATAAGTTCCGGTGGACTGGCTGAAGATGAGATCACTTCTTCAATCGGGAAGGCTAAGGTAGCCTTTGCGAACTTCTGACATCTACGGCGCCGACGTAACTTGAGTTTGTACCAAGGAAAGAGTTTACGCTGCAGCGGTGCGATCCATGCTGCTTTATGGATCATAGAAGTGGCCTCTACGTGCAGAGGGCGTACGAAAGATGTCGGTGTTTGACCATAGGTGTCCGGAGAATTGGTCAGGTCTGGTGGGAACATCGGATTCGTAATGCTGATCTACACCAGATGGTCTTAGTAAGAAGGAACTCTCCCGTGATAGAAGAATTACTCACGGTTCATAGGTTACGCTGGTTCGGACATGCACTCCACATGCCGTTTCTCTTCCAGCGCTGTGCTTAATGGAAGCGACAGAGAGGTGGACAGTGTTAGGCCTGGCGACGAAGTATGAGAACACTGACCAGTAAAGTTGGTCGCGTCGACGAATTGCTTTCCTGGATGGAGACCTTGGGACTCAACTCACCAATGTTTGATGACACTGGCAGAAGTGGCCCAATCGCGCGGTCAATGGCATCAAAGCTATCGCATTCAGTGCATAGCTACCCGATTCCCAAACTAACTGAACATGCCATCGCCTCCAAGGCTTGGCGGTTTCTCCTGCACTCTGCCACTTTACAGTGATCGAAACTGTAGCAGCTGGAACCAGTGTACCTATGGTACACGATTGACTGATTGATTGGTTGGTTGATTGATTGATCGATGTATGTATGTATGGATGGGTTGATTGATTGCTAAACAACCACACAATATACACCCGTTCGGGTAAACACTGAGATATTACTAGCCTCGCACGAACAATTTAAAATAGGTGTTCGAATTTTCACTTTTCTCCGGACTGACACCATCTTCGTTTCTCAAACTTACTCGCTCGTTCTACCTAGGTTGGGTCGGAAACTGCGAAAGAAACGCTCGTATCTGTTTCAACCTACAATTTCAGACTATCACTTAGGAGTTATGAAGATGACCGGAGATGTGGAAGCACTCAACATTCGTTTGAACTATTTGACTCGATACATCCAGCATCAGCGGACCGAAATCAAGGAACTGGTGAGTCTGACGTGTACTCGTTTTTGACAGACCGCACAACACTGTACGATTTTTTTTATACTTTAATGGAACTTTTTTGACCTTCAGGCTCTCTTCACGTGGCCGCGTGTAACCATCATTCTTCATTCATCTGTGACTATTTGACTTCACCAAACAGTCTGCTCGCATGACTAGTCAACTCGGTTATACAACCGACAATGGAATGCAAGACCATCCTGATTTTTAACATAGTACATAAGTATTCAAGCTTGAATGTGATATTCAGTCTCATAGCAAAATGTAAGTGAACGTTTGAACGAAAATCCAAAAACCATCCCAACAAAATTATCGGACCCACATGCTCATCTAGTGTGTGCTTTACCTTCAACAATCCCTTTTTCCCATGGCTGAGCATGTTGGCCTTGACTTCGTTTGACAAAGCCAAACGATGGTTCAACTACCCGGAAGTTTAACCCATGAGTGACTTGTCCGGTTATACATAGAAATGAAAGTTGTATTGTACGCTTGTGACCTCAAGTTCGATATCCTTTATCTTGAGTTAGACTTCAAATCACCTGTGAGCACTGATGGAATTATGGAATCTCCATTGATGAAGACATCTAGCATAGTCGAACTATACACGTGACGTTACCTGTGGTATGATAGCTGTAATGATTAGATGGTGCAATGAATACTATTAGAAGCACGATTCTTGAATTTCCCAAGATGATGGAGTTTAGGATGCTGACGTGTAGACTTATTGAACATATTCGCTTTTAAGATTGGGCTCATTTAAGTTGGATTATAGCGAGCAGTGTACCCGAAAGATGTGAAATGACTTTGAAAGCGCCCTGGGCATGTAGTCAGAGAATGGAGTAACTTTTATCACTTGGAAACGAGTCGCATCCTAGTCAACTTTCACAAAATTTCGACTTCAAATTTCACCCACTCTTGAGATACGGTGGACTTCAGGACAGTGCGCATAAATCCATATCACTTAGGGGCTTTTGGTTGGATTTTATGTGTGAGTGGACCAAACCGTGGTCGTGATGTACAGGCAGGCACAATGCCGTCCCCTCAAGACAATGCTTCCAAGAAATAAACGGGAAACCATTCATGGTACACGCAATAGGTGCTTCCAAGGAGAACGCCGGTTACCCACTCCTGTAGAATCTACGAGTCTGTCAGTGTCTAACAAAAACACAAGTTCAATCGTCTTCGAAGTCGGGGAAAAATGATTCATTTTTGTTATTGGCTTCCCACGTTTCCTACACACTAAGCAAATCTGTGCATGGCAGCGCTTGATTTGTTGATTTTGTCCCATTCGGCATTAACCCTTAATCAACTTCAGTCACGTTTGTGCATATCAGTCCAAACCACCCACACTTTACGGTATCGTAACGCTATGCCGGTACGTTTGAAGTAGCACAGTAACACAGATCTGTTCGCATTCAAGTACGTTGTAATCGCTTTTCAGCTTCCTCCCTGACTTTCTGGATCACATGCAACACGACCGAGTGGGTTCACGCTCTCACTTTTAACGCCTATCTGGTTACTGGGATGAATCAAAGGAGCCTCATTGCACTGAGAATAATGCGGTTATATAACCGGAATTTCCAACTTGTCTATGACTCCGTCTAAAAAAAATTAACAGGGGGAACACTTCAATTATGGTGTCCGGGGGATACTAGCACCGGTATGAACTCAAACACTAGAAAGCGTCATCGAGTGATTTGTGGAAGCACACCTAGAAAATTCACATCGTGCGAAAAAAATTGCTGCACAAAATGAACAAAATTAATTTCGAGCAAGTTAGAATTTCAGGCCACTTTGGTATAATCGACACGACTGCTTCGAGTAATTCACTGAAACTATATTTACTGGTCTGCTTACACCATATCTCCACAAAGCTCAGCTGAGGAATTTTGTGTCTGTGGGACCGAAAACTTGTACCTCTGACAAAATGTGCTTATAAGTAGCGTATAACTTTGGCCGGCCCCGAGGATGCACACTCTTCACAGGGTACACTGTTTACAATGTGATGAGGAAGGCTCGTTTATTCACTCCTTATCAGACTGGAAGATCCCCAATCCGGTTTCCTAAAGCCGAAGGAAGCGGGAAGTTATTCAATGTCCTGGTGTATGAATCGATTATCTGCCTTCCTTTAAGAATCACTAACTGATTTTCCATCGGTGAAAATCGCGCCCCAAAGCATCCCAGAACTACCATCACAAGCTCATTAATCAAAGTCTGGCTTTTCTTTTCATATATCATGTCGATGATATATATATATATATATATATGAACGCTTCAGACACATCATCCCTCAAAAAGTTCCAGCTTATATGGTTCATGGCTGAGTTCATTCATCCTTGAACAAATCACAGTCCATTCTATAGCTTTTTATCTACTTTTTTACCCAACATCTGGCACCTTCTGTAGTAACTGATGTACGCATCACACACTAAGGTCCCTGCATGTTTTGAACACTCGTCAGTTGATTTGAGGTAGTATGTATAAGTCTCTTTCATCGGTTTGGAACTCTAATTTCACGCTTCCCTTTCTCTGTATATA